ATCAGGTATAGAGTACCACATTGTGGTGCTAATGTAACACAGTCAAGAATATTAATTCTTGGTTCTTTCGGTAAGAATATGAATGCCTGCAGTCACGAAAGCTTTAAATCAACAGTCAAGAATGTTGCGTATTTGTCCAATGAACAGACCTTTTAAAAGCCACAATCAAAATGAATCCCTTCCCAAACACTCATTTGACCAGCACTCATCTCAATTTGAACTTTGAAGCACAGAGCCAGTGGTGGAAATTTAAATATTTGTAAGGTACAGCTGATTATCTTCTTAACGTGGCCAATGGTGACTTTCCATGAAGTTGTAATCAATGATTCAATGTATGTTGAACTTCTCTCGCACCGTTCGTAGCCAACCATGTTAATAATCGGAGGTCGATGAGTTTAGTTAACCCACAACTGCTACGCACCCCATGGTATGTGTTTTTCATCAGCCACGTGTCATTAACGACGGGCCCGTTCATCAGCGCCATTTAGCGAGGGTCAACTCCCGCAGACCATCTCATGTGGCCCCACGCTGCACTGTACATTCGTGCAGATGGCACGCGCATGAAGAAACTAAACCCAGCCACGAGTCAGCACGATAGAGGCATGGTGTGAGTGAGACACGCAGCCCAAGAAGAGCAGCGTGAGGGGAAAATAGATGCACAGCGGGTGAGGCGCGCTCTATATTAGTCTCCCTTATAAAACTTCCTAAATCTTACAATAAATTTGGTCAATCCCTTGACAGTGTAAGATCAATATTTAAATGTACCTATTAACTTGTTATAACAGCTTCACTGTACACACATGGGATAAGACAACAAGGGTGTCTGAATTCCCATAAACATCTATATACAATGGTAATGTAAAAAAAAATAACTTGAAATATTCAGTATACATATAAAATGTCAAGTTATAAATTCAAATCCCTGTCAGAATTCATTAGTCCATCATCCTTCCAGAGTCAAAATAAGTACAACTCTGTGCAAAACTGCAGTTGCAGTAGTGAATTGGGCAGTTTTCCCTCATTATTCACGAGGGATATGTTCCAGAGATGCTCATGAATAGCACATTTCGCGGATAATGACATTGGCCTAGAAAAACCTGTCTTTTTAATGAATTATCTTAAATAGAAACATAAATAAGCTATTATATACATGGACATTATATCATTACTTTATCGCATTACATTCTCCCTCACCACTTTATCTCATCACTTTCTCTCTCATCACTTTATTTCTCTCTCTCTTTGGATGCAGTCGTGTAGAGTTCCAGATGTGATTCGCAAATAGCCAAAATTGCAGATAGCAAGTTCGTCTTTGGTTCTTTCGGTGAAGTCACGTAGAAAGAAAATAAAAATAAATAATAGAATACGACGTTTCTATTGCAACACAAGCAATCGTCATCAGGTATAACTAAATTTGAGAGAGAGACAAAACACAGACACGGAGACACACAGACAGACACAAGCAGAGAGAGACACACACCATAGACACACAGAGACCCAATCCCTCTGTGTCGTGGCCTTAAATAGAGAGGGGGGGGGGCAGAGAGAGAGGTGGGTCTGCTCGAGCAGAGAAATGCCAATGAGAGAGTTGTGTGGAAATCCACCCCGTGGTGGCAGGGGGAGAGAAAGACCCAGCAAGACTGGTAAATTTTAGAGAGAAATGGGCAGCTTGAGAAAACAAACTTAGCAATTTTTTGGAAATGTAATGCAATGCAACGCAGAGAGTCGGCTAACACACATTTAACGCATAGCCTGGTTGATTACGTTCTCCAGAGATTGCTAAATTAGAAGTTGTGTGAAATTTGACAGAGACAGAGAGAGAAAACAAACTTACATCCTCCCTGTAGAGGTGGTTCAAACTTGATTTGAAGCTTTCGTGACTGCAGGAATTACTCTTTGCTTCTTTCGGTGAAGTCTCGCTATGCGTTAACTGTGTGTTAGCCGACTCTGGCTGACTCTCCAGTGAGTTGGAGCATGTACACCAAGCCCTCAAGATGAACGGATACTCGGATCGTACAATCCGCAATGCTGTCTCCCCAGCCATGTGGAGACAACCTTCTGAGGATCCAACCAAAACCATCACTTTACCGTACATAGCAGGGGTTACCAAAACGATTTCCAAAATCTTAAACAAACACAAGTTCCAGGTTCCTTTCAACACAGTACGCAAAATCCGTGATTTAATCCCATCTGTAATGGATGTGATTCCTGACATGCAATACCGTGGTGTCTACAAACTGTGGTTGTGGCAGCAGTTACATTGGGGAAACGAAACGACATGTCTCGGACCGCGTTCGTGAACACAAGGCAGATCTGAAACACGGTAGGACCAATACCTCTGCCATTGCCAATCATTGTTTTAATGCTGTGGGCTCACACGAAATGTATTTTTCCAAGACGGAGGTACTCTGCAAACCTAACACCTTCAGAGATTTGTTCATGAAGCCATCCAGATATATAAACACAGACGCAACTTCAACCCGAGAGGATGGGTACAAACTGAGCAATCATTGGAAGGACGTTATTAACCAGGTAAAGTCTTAACTGACTGTGATGTTTCCATTCTACCTGCCTATGTCAGCTGTTATTTCCGACTGTCTCTCTCTCTATGCCCTCTATGTCCTTTGGATTGCACTCTCATACTCACATGCCCTTTGGATTACACCCGCTGGGTTGCACTCATGCCTTTGGATTGCACCACTCTTCGATTTCACATTAACATGCTATTCTCTCACATTAACATAGCCACTTCCATGCCCTCGTCGAGGAGGCCGCTCTCCTATCTTACAGTTACATGCTAATTTCTAACATTAATATCACGAGCCCCGGCCGCTTCTTTATGACCCTTGGGCTACACCCATTCAAACCTTTTAAAACAGTCTGCCTCAGCAGCAGACCATGCTTTTCCACCTGATGACGGACGCTTGTGTTGCGCCCGAAACGTCGTGATTTATTTTATTTTCTACCTACGTGACTTTACCGAAAGAACCAAAGAGTATGGATTCCTGCAGTCACGAAAGCTTCAAATCAAGATTATAATGTAAATTATCCGAGCGTATGAAACGGGTACAAAATTGCCTCTGCAGGTCCAAAATCCAATTTTCACCTGCTGGATAGCGAGGAGTCTGCAGGAGGCTGAATATTGTAACTTGCTGACCCGCTCATACTGGACAATTGTGAAAAAGAGCTTCATGGACCATCGAATTTATCTAGTCTAAATAAAGATTCTGATTCTGAATTTGTTACTGAGACTTGCTTCCCTTGCCTGTGTAGGTTTTTTTTCTGGGCACAAGGGGGAATGTTTTGAGAAAGAATTAGCCTTACATTTTGCATGATGACCTTTCTCAAAAGGTTATCGATGACCAGATTAACCTTTCCTGGGTGAACACGCAAATGAGAACATGCGCCAAACGTCAGCATTAACGTGGCCTCATTGGAGGAAAAATATATATCCAGCGGTTTCAGAAGATGCCACTTTTTAATGGGGCTGTTTGGACAATGACTGTTCTTCAGAGCTGCTCTAAAATGCAGCCATTGCCTAAAATTAAAGTGTGTTATAATTCAGTGTTAATGAAGACGTGTTAATGTGTTTTTTGTTAGGATTTTACAATAAAAAAATTATTTCAACTTTGTCCACTTGATCCATTCTTCATTGGGGTCCACCTGCACATTGTATAATTAAAACTACACTCCAAATCAGCTGCATTTAGTAGATGTGAGCTCCCACGCCTTTGAAGCTCCACTGCACACTGTACACAGCTGAGAAGCAAGCCTGAAATTTCTAACATTTTCCGCATATTATATAGATGTGAATGCAGTGTACTTTGGTCTTAAGTGTGCCATCGGTCATTAATAGACCGGTCTGCAAGAATTAACACCATTAGAAAAGTACAGTGTGTCCTGTTAAAACATATCCCGGTCCAAAGACCGGGATATGTGTTGCCATAAAACATAGTGGAGATTAAACCTGCTGGGAAAGAATATAATTTGTATGAACATGCCTTAAAAAGCTGCACTTATCCACAGTATTTGATTATCAGATTGACCCATCATTGGGCTCTTATTTACATGTCATATGCAACTAAAATTAGTTATGCTACTCGGGGTAGTTCATTATATTTTTTCTGAAATGAATGCAGGACTGTAAGGTAGTGGAAACCTTTCGAAGCCAGACCAATTGAGGGGGAAACTCTTTGCTGTTATGTGGGAATGCCTGGTACACTGCAAACAATCCATGCATAATCACTTAAGTCGAATTACATCTACTGAAAACTATTATCTAACACATTTAATGATCAGTTAAAACGTGACATTACCGAAATAACCAAGAATATATTGTCAACAACGCTTAAAATATTTACTGCTACTCGGTTCCTTGTGCACTCAAACAACATGGATATATTTATTTATTTGTCTGTTTTGATGGAGCGGAGCTGCGTGTATGTACGTACATATGTATGTTAAACTTATTTTGCATCGTACGTAGCCAACAATGCTAATCAAAGCTGCAGTTGACAGTCGACGCCTGTGACTGAGATGGGTGTAATGCATCGGGGGCCGACAGCCACTGATGGGAGTGGCCGGCGGTCGTCTCTGCCACGTGATAAGCCACTTCTGCTCTGGCTAGATGTTAACTACTTCTCCTGGTATGCAGGAGATCGTGGGTTTGCTCCCGACCCTGATGCCTCTATACTTGGAGTTTGCACGCTCTCCCCGTGGTCGTGTGGATTTTTCACCGGCTCCTCCGGTTTTTTCCTGCACATTTAGAAACGTGCGTTGAGAGTATTCGGTTGCTGTATATTTCCACATGATAAGCCACTTCGTTGGGCTAATTATATATTTTTAGTGATTTTTTTTTACTTGCCCATCGTATTTTCGTATTGTTTCTTGTTGTAACGTTTTGACCCCATGCCCTGCCATACTGGATATCCGGTGAAAAAGAGCCTCATAGCTCATCGGATTCCTCCAGCATGAATAAATAAATATGATTTCGAATTCAGGCGGTAGGGTGCTGGAAATTGGCTTCGGCATGGCCATTGCGGCCACCAAGATCGAGGAGCACGACATCGCCGAGCACTGGATCGTCGAGTGCAACGACGGGGTGTTCGCACGTCTGCAGCGATGGGCAGGGCAGCAGCTGCACAAGGTGAGAGCGGCAGGGCAGGTGCCAGCGTCTGCCGCAGGGAAGTGGCAGCTTTGGTTGGGGGGGGGGCACTTGCAGCATGCACACTTTATCCATAATATACGTTTTTTTAGGGTTAGATCGTATAAATATTAATGTGTCGTTAAACCTGCCACCACCCGACACAGCCAATTAGTAATGTTTGTCACGTAAACAAAACATGCCAATTCGTTACTGCAACGAGTAACTAATTGCCATTTCAGACTAAATGACACATTTATATTTACGTCATCTAAGCAAAAAAATTATTACGGATAATTACTGCTTCATTAAACCCACAACATTTACAATTGGGATACTGTGACGTTGCTTGTCGTTGCTTATCGTGCCACGTAGTAGCCTATGAGGAGCACCGCTTTTGCTGCTGGTTATGACAATGATTCGCCCGGGTGTGGATCAATCCTCCAGCAAGGCTTTCGTTTCCTGCTGCCGTTCGATTGTCCCAGATCGGGTTTAGACTAAGGGGTTCGCCGAGAGTGAGTACAGTTCTCGTCAGCATAGCACCACGGATGGCGGCTGGTCATGGTGGGGTTGGTGGGGTTGGTGGAGTGCACGTACAGTAAATCATCACGTGGTGTGACCCCCCCAGCATGCTCAACATAATATGGCAGTGCAGCAAGTGGGATTGTGACTTATCAGTGCAGATTTTTTTCGATACCACCCCTCATATTTGTCGACTTCCTCATTGAGCGCCCCAGTCTTTTTCCCACACACGAAACATTATTTTTAAGGCTCGGCGAGGATTTTATCAAATAAAGGGACAATTTACTTTCTGTTAGTTGATTCGGTAGTTCTGAACGACTCGTGTTAATTCTGCGTTCCCACAACGGGGATCAGTATTTTTTAGGTCAATCAGACAGACACTGTTGTTGGATGCCTTACCAAAGTAGAGTTCGTCCCTGCGAAGCTACTTTGTTGACCCTATAGGCGAGTCAACCCTAACCAAATATTTCAACTGTTACATATCTGATAGTCGTACTGTTTGTTGCTTGATATTTTGGGTATTTGGGCCCTGTGCCCAGTAATTTTGTTTCATAGAAGGAAAAAAAAATAACATGCAAGTCTATAACTGAAAAAAGTAGGCAAGCATGGACATTTAAATTGATGTTTAAAGCATAATAAAACTGAATTGTGCGATGTGGCTTTGTCAGTAGTCGCGATCATTCCCAGGAATGGTAAAGCCAGTGCACGGTTTAACAGACAGAGCCACTTTATTCGCGATGCCATTGTTGTTTCAGGTGGTCCCACTGAAGGGCTTGTGGGAAGACGTCGTGCCTACGCTGCCGAAAGGACACTTTGACGGTAATTAGGTGTAGACACTCATATCGGGCGGCAGGCTACCACAGTGGTGGCAATTGTTCCTCACAGCAAGAAAGCCCTGTACTGTATTTGATTCCCCACGTCGGTACCTTTCTGCATCGTGTGTTGTTCTCCCCCTGTTCTCCACGGTTTTCCACCGGGTTCTCTGGTTTCCTCCCAATAGATAAAAAAACCCATACTAGTGTAATTGACATTGGCCAATTATCTCAATGCTGAAACATTACCTGCAAATTTCTCAGATATGATTACAAACAGCAGCATCACCCTCTGCAATAATCTGACAGGACCCTCCTTTTGCATGAATACAAACGGCAACATACGTTATCCACACAGCAGCTTTTGGCTAACCATCGAACCAAGATGGTCACTGCATCGCGCGTTTTCAGATGCGCTTCTGCGGCCATCTGGAGAGCTCTTCCTTCCAATAATAGGAAGCCACTAAAGCTATGCACTTTAAATAATCTCGATTGAAAACGAATTTCTTTAGAACCGATTTTGTGTTTAGTTTGTTGTCGTTCCCCCGAACCTCCGATGAGCATGGTTGGCTACGTACGGTGCAACAGAAGTTCAACATACGTACGGTCATGTGTACAGTGAGGGAAAACGTTTTTGATCCCCTGCTGATTTTGTACGTTTGCCCACTGACAAAGAAATTATCAGTCTATAATTTTAATGGTAGGTTTTTTTGAACAGTGAGAGACAGAATAACAACAAAAAAATCCAGAAAAACGCATGTCAAAAATGTTATAAATTGATTTGCATTTTAATGAGGGAAATAAGTATTTGACCCCTCTGCAAAACATGACTTATACTTGGTGGAAAAACCCTTGTTGGCAATCACAGAGGTCATACGTTTCTTGTAGTTGGCCACCAGGTTTGCACACATCTCAGGAGGGATTTTGTCCCACTCCTCTTTGCAGATCTTCTCCAAGTCATTAAGGTTTCGAGGCTGACGTTTGGCAACTTGAACCTTCAGCTCCCTCCACAGATTTTGTATGGGATTAAGGTCTGGAGACTTGCAAGGCCACTCCAGGACCTTCATGTGCTTCTTCTTGAGCCACTCCTTTGTTGCCTTGGCCGTGTGTTTTGGGTCATTGTCATGCTGGAATACCCACCCACGACCCATTTTCAATGCCCTGGCTGAGGGAAGGAGGTTCTCACCCAAGTTTGACGGTACATGGCCCCGTCCATCGTCCCTTTGATGCGGTGAAGTTGTCCTGTCCCCTTAGCAGAAAAACACCCCCAAAGCATAATGTTTCCACCTCCATGTTTGACGGTGGGGATGGTGTTCTTGGGGTCATAGGCAGCATTCCTCCTCCTCCAAACACGGCGAGTTGAGTTGATGCCAAAGAGCTCCATTTTGGTCTCATCTGACCACAACACTTTCACCCAGTTGTCCTCTGAATCATTCAGATGTTCATTGGCAAACTTCAGACGGGCATGTATATGTGCTTTCTTGAGCAGGGGGACCTTGCGGGCGCTGCAGGATTTCAGTCCTTCACGGCGTAGCGTGTTACCAATTGTTTTCTTGGTGACTATGGTCCCATCTGCCTTGAGATCATTGACAAGATCCTCTCGTGTAGTTCTGGGCTGATTCCTCACCGTTCTCATGATCATTGCAACTCCACAAGGTGAGATCTTGCATGAAGCCCCAGGCCGAGGGAGATTGACAGTTCTTTTGTGTTTCTTCCATTTGCGGATAATCGCACCAACTGTTGTCACCTTCTCACCAAGCTGCTTGGCAATGGTCCTGTAGCTCATTCCAGCCTTGTGTAGGTCTACAATCTTGTCCCTGATATCCTTGGAGAGCTCTTTGGTCTTGGCCATGGTGGAGAGTTTGGAATCTGATTGATTGCTTCTGTAGACAGGTGCCTTTTATACAGGTAACAAGCTGAGATTAGGAGCACTCCCTTTAAGAGTGCTCCTAATCTCAGCTCATTACCTGTATAAAAGGCACCTGGGAGCCAGAAATCTTTCTAATTGAGAGGGGGTCCAATACTTATTTCCCTCATTAAAATGCAAATCAATTTATACAATTTTTGACATGCGTTTTTCTGGACCTTTTTGTAATTCTGTCTCTCACTGTTCAAATAAATCTACCATTAAAATTATAGATTGATCATTTCTTTGTCAGTGGGCAAACGTACAAAATCAGCAGGGGATCAAATACTTATTTCCCTCACTGTATCTCATGAGGGGGGATGTGGTGAGAACAGATGTATGTATGTTGAACTTCTTTCGCACCGTACCTAGCCAGCCGTGCTAATCGGAGACGAAATGTCAAGCGTGGGCACAAATGGGGCTTCGCCAAGCACAGGGAAGAAAATGCAATTGCTCTGTACAGCATTCCGTCTTGTAAAGTCATCAGCCTCAAGCGTATGGAAATAAGATTTAAATTTGCAACAATTGCCCTCTCCTCTGCAGGACAAATATATGAAGCATTCGTGTCATTTTCCTGAATGTGGTGAATTGTCTGGCAATTTAAAACATATAATGTATTTCATACACATAAATATTTAGGATGAATCCAAAGATCTTGAAAGATCTTGAAATTGCCCGGTACTGTCCTCTCAGCAGTATAAATGGGGGCAGCACAGTCCATTGTGTGTGTGGATATTCCCGCCTTTTCCAAGACATGCGGCCAGCGTGGAAGAGTAGACTAAATACCATTTGGAGGGGTTCTCTCATGGAGGCCATTATTCCAGCACTTGTGTGAGCAAGCGATTGCAGGGCTGGTTAACATGAGCTGTGTTTCCAGCTTCAGGGTAATGGGGCATTAATAGAAAGCACCTGCCAAATGAGAGAGGAAGAACACGAAGTGCCATTCCTGTGTGTGTGTGAATCTGTGTATTGCTCTTCAGTGGGGAGCAGTGGTGTAGCGGTTCGCACCCTGCGCTACGAACTCGGCGATTCGAGTTCGATTCCTGCTCACGGCCCAACATTAGTGACGATTATCTGAACCGGTCCTGGGCCTCCCCAAGATCGACTCAACTTCAAATGAGTACCTGTAAACATCAGCACTGGGGACTCGAAGACGGCCAGGTGTGGTGCTGGCCACCCACCCCCTCGTGTGCCGTATCGACCTTCATAGGTGCTCGCTAACAGGACTTGCTCCAACTTTCTGATAAGGCTATATGAGGGATCTTTGTCTTTGTATTCCTCTTACAGGGATCCTGTACGACACTTACCCTCTGTCAGAGGAGACCTGGCACACCCATCAGTTCAACTTCATTCAGGTAATATTGATTTTCTAAATGAGTAGCATTATCATCTACTTTATGTCTGAAAAGAACTTCAATATTTTGAAATGTTGGCAATCTTTGAGATCCTGCGATTTCGTGTGAGCATTACTTTTCCCAGCCTGTTGAGCCTGCTGGATTTTGTGTGACTAGTGGAATGGCTGGTGCTTTGATATAGACAGTGCTTTTAAACTGCCCATTATGATCCTATTATTTGTGATTGGCTTTTCCTTCAGAAAGTAACTTGGCACTTTCATCAGTCACTGGCTCCTGCGCCTGTGTCGGTTGTATGAGTTTTATGTGTGCGGGACAAGTGAGAGTTGGTTGCTGAATTCTGTGAGTCTTCAGTTTTTTTTTATCATTCGACCAGAGCAGTGTCTACCTCAATGGCCCTGGCAGCATCTGTGTCAATTGTAGACACTTGGGCTACTCTGAAACCGTTACAACATATCACAGGTCGAACACGGGAATCGTCTGCCCAGGCTAAATTTGGCAGCGCCGTCCTGTGTACAAGTGTAGGGCTGCTTCCTGGTATTTGAGCTCGACTTAAACACCAGTTCCTGTCGGGTCACTGCTCTGCTGGGTAGCGTGTCTGGTGCATTGGTGCCCAAGTAGCGCTGTGTACCGTGTGTTAGGCCATCACCACCACACATTGTTTTTGAGTCCAGATGCCACCATGCAAGGTCCCTCCCTCCCCTGATATTAAATGTCCTTGTGTCTGGTGTGCACCGAGTTATCTGGGTTGCCCAACACTCATTCGAGCATGGGGGGGGGGCAGTTTAATTATAATTATTCTGCATTCAGGGTTCCTTGTCCAGTTGCCCATGATGTGTATGAGGCTACAACACAGCGACTGTACTGTGCAGTCAATATTCTGCGCTTGCCAGAGACACGCTGCACACTAAAGTTGTGTTTGATGTGGCAGGGTTACGCTTATGACCTCCTGAAACCAGGCGGTGTGCTGACCTACTGCAACCTCACCTCCTGGGGCGAGCTCATGAAGAGTCAGTTCACCGACATCAACAAGATGTTCCAGGTAGACCGCTTAGTGCTTACTATCAGAGGGCTGCACATGTCACACCGTCAATAAACAGGTAGTGTGTGCTGTAAGCTTAAATAGACTGCTGGCTCATTGGCCAAGTCACAATTATGGAGATGGCTCGGAATGTTTCTCCCCCTACAGTTAGGATCTCAAATGAGTTTCTGTGGTTTGGTTGATTCGGTATAAATGCATTTACACCGCCGCACACGTTTATACCGAATAGATATTTGGCATTTACGCAAAATCTGAGGAATCGTAAACAAGGTCTGATGTGACTTGGGCAACGTGCAGCGACTCACCTGGCACCTGTGTTGAGTTCTCGGCTCTCGCTAACATTAACGATGAGCAATCGATATCTATTTCAGTTCTGTCTCCCCACCCATTACCAACCTGCACGTGCAGATGTAGTGAAGTGTAATCAAATAACCAACATGACCTGTGGAGACCTTCATCCGCCAGTGGATTGACAAAGGGCTGTGATTATTGTATTTATTTACGTAAATGCAATAACAATACACATAGAGTATACAGACATTCACAAAAAGACAAAGATCCCCCGTGTAGCCTATTAACAGACTATTCTTTGGGTCTTTCGGTAAATCCATGTGGATAGACAAATAATAAAATTATCACGATGTTTTGATCGCAACACAAGCAATCGTCATTAGGTGAAAAAATATAGCGGGAGAGCTGGTGAAGCAGGATGTTATATAGTCTAGATATGGAATTTGCATTTAAATGTAAGATCGGAGAGCTGATATACCTCCACGCCCACTTACCCTTGGGTTAAACCCAAACCTACATAACATCACTAACACAGCCACCGTTTCTCCTTGTCCTCGAGTTGGCGGTGTCCCTCGTTTTGTAACGAGCTGGATATCTCACTAACAAAGCCACCGTTGCGGTGGTTTACTTACATTGACATGCTAATATTTCACAATACAATGGCCACCTCCACAGCTGTGTCGTCGTGGAGGTATATCAGCGCTCCGATCTTACATTTACATGCAAATTCCATCTCTAGCCCCACCCACTTACCCTTGGGTTAAACCCATCTCAAACCTATATAACATCCTGCTTCACCAGCTCTCCCGCTATATATATTTTTTCACCTGATGACGATTGCTTGTATTGTGATTGAAACGTCGTGATATTTTTATTATTTTTATATCTACACGGCTTTACCGAAAGATTATTAATTCCTGCAGTCACGAAAGCTTTGAGTCAAGATTTATTAACAGACTGTCGGGGCAAGTGCTGTTACCAGGCACCTATCTAGGCCGATATACACAATTCACATATACACACCTAGAGTACATCTATATATACACACATATAGCATATAGCAGTGTTCTTCACTAATTTTCAGAGGGGAGCCACTTTTGCCGATAAGACATCAGTATGAGAGCCGCCACACATTTTAAACCATTGGGTTTGATGGCAGCACGATGATGGGGGGTGTTTTCACATTGTTGTGTATTGTCGGGGGGCCGCACTGAAGGCCACCAGGAAATCGCCAGTGGCCCGCGGGGCCTTGCAACAAAGAATGCTGCCACCATAGTGCTGACACGCATCCTGCACGCATGGCGTTCCAGTAAATTTTGTTAGCAATTTCTCCATTTTCGAGTTCTTCGTGTCCATTGTCTGTCTTGCTTCGTTTTGTTAAATCTCCACGTCCATGCTGGCTGCAAACGAATGTTCTCCCTCCTTGCCCTGCACTGATGCCAAATCTACTGATCGCCCTCTCTCACCTCTCCACCTTTTTTGGCCAACTTGGCATTAAAGTTATGGCGGTGTGCATGTTGCCCATACTCAAGTGAGTTAATTGCTTAGTACATGTCATCTGCTCCTCCATCCTCATAACTTTTTTTATGGCAAATACGTTTGAATGATCGTTGCCTTGTGATGAGTTGAGGGCCATAACCAACGGCGTCGACCGAGACAGCCAACTACTCTCTGGCCGTGCAATGATCAGGCGAAGGTGGCAGAGGCGAAGGTGGCAGCGGCGACGATGACAGCGACGACGAAACGAGTCCACTCTCTCAGAACCGGCAGCCTGGAGCTCTCACTCTCTGCTGCTTATATTCCCCTTGGCACGGCTTCAGCTCTGCCCTAGCCACGCCTCCCTTCTTGAACCCACCAGAGGGTTCCAGGGGCTTCGCCACGAGGTCTGCCATGACCCTTTCCCCAGGTCCTCCGCCCTGCCGGCACACCCGTGTATATGCTCAACAGCGTGTGCGCTCAATGCCCACCTGCAGTTGCAGCTGCTGTACAACAGTCAGCGCTATGTCACGACATCACCCCCCTCCCCATTAAGAAGACAGCCGTCCCAGCTATCAATACAGCAGCTGAAAACGGTAGGCAGGCAGGGCAAATCAAATAACTCGAGGAACATCAACGTTACGACCGCGGCATCCCCCGCAATCAACAAAACATCTCACTACTCGCCGGTGCCCCCCCCCCCGATAACAAACCAACACTCACCCGAACGCGGCGCCCCCGATCTCACGAATCGGCAACTCTGCAGCACGAATCGGCGACACTCCCCACACAACACGGCACCCCCCCCCGCAACTGACACACTTCCTCAATTTCCCTTTGACCCAGGCCCTTAGCCCCAACACTCCCTCACCTTCAGATCCCCTCTCAGTGCAAGGGAGAGTCCCCCCATACCGGGACACAGCTCACGTGATCCAGTGCATGGTGCCGGTCACCCCCGTCTCAGCGGGGTCCTGCACCTCCGGAATCCAGAGAGCCAAGAGACAATGGGCAAGGGCAACCCTCAGTTTTCTTGCCAGCTCCCGCAGCCTCTCCACCACTCGAAGGTCGAGCGCCCCCTCACCAAAAAGTGAGTGCCTCACGTCCCAGCTCCAGCAGCACTGCCTGGAAGGCATAGGGCGTCTCGTCCTCCATCCGTTTACTCTGGAGAAATCTTGTGCGAACCTCCCATGCCAGATCAGGAGCAGCTTTTTGCAGCTCCGTCACTCTTTGTACCATCTCCGCTCGCTCCCGCGTTCGCCTGAAAATGGCGTCCGCCGGCCACGGAAGGTCCTCCAGCGTCAAAATGGCACCCACCATGTGCGTGCTCCAACGGAAGCTCCCGCTTGGTTTTTCCTGATCTTCTCCGCGCCGTTCCCTGGGGTATGCGCCTCGTGGCAGCCCGTGCCCCTCTCCACATGGCAGTCATCCGCCATGCTGCTTGGTCGGTGCGTGACTATGGGAAAGTCTCAGCCGCTCTCTCCGTCGACGTGCAGCCCCCGCTCTCTCTCTCCGTCGCCGTGCAACCACTCTTTCTGTCGACGTGCAGCCTCTCTCTCCGTCAATGCGCAGCCACTCCCGCCACCTGGCATAGCCACTCCCGCCGTCGACGCTCGGCCGCTCTCCCTGTCGACGTACAGCCATTCTCACCGTCGATGCGCAGCCGCTCCTGCCGTCAACGCTTGGCTGCTCTCTCTCCGTCATCGTACAGGTGCTCTTGTCGTTGACGCGCAGCCACTCCTGCCGTTTTGTGTAGCCACTCGCGCTGTCGACACCCAGCAGCTCTCTCTTCATCGACACGTAGCTGCTCCCACCTTCTCGCGTAGCCACTAGTGCCGTCGATGCCCAGCCGCTCCCGTCTCCTTGCATAGCCACTCCCACCGTTGATGCCCAGCCACTCTCCCCTCGCGGATGTGTAGCTGCTCACCCCGCAAATTTTGCATAGCAGCTGTCCCGCCAATCCATGGCAGCTCCTCCGCTGCCGAGCAGCCAACGGGCTTCGTAACTGGGATCCCGGTTCCCGGGGTTGTCGGAGGGATGACCGTCTCACCGTCCTCGTCCCGACGACACTACAGGTGGCTTTATTAATACCCTACTTCTGACACCAGATGTAGTGTCATAGGTCTTCTCTTCCTTCTGCTCGAGGCTTGTGTGTGTGTGCGGATGGCATGCGTCACACACACACTCAGTTGGAGACGAGGTGGTCGCAGGAGGCACCGTCCTGCCATTTTATTGTTGTGTTTACACCACCAACTCCGGCCCCCTCTCTCTCACGTCCATGCTGCCGCACGACCCGTCCACGTTGCACCGACGGTGTCAACAGAGATGACCAACTACTGTCTGGCCGCGCAATGATCGGACGAAGGCGGCAGCAATGAAGGCGGCGACAATGACAGCGACGACGAGACGAGTCCACTCCCAGAACCGGCAGCCTGGAGCTCTAGCGCTCTGCTGCTTTTATTCCCCTTGGTGTGGCTTGGATCCGCTCTAGTCGTGGCTCCCTTCTCGAATCCACCAGTGGGTTCCAGGGGCTTCCCCACGAGGTCGACCGTGATCCTTGCCCCAGTTCCTCCGCCCTGCCGCACACCCGTGTATATGCTCAAGGGCTCAATGGCGTGTGCACTAAGTGCCCACCTGCAGTTGTAGATGTTGTACAACAGTAAGCGCTACACTCGTATCTGTGGTTATACATGCCCATTGTAATACCTTACCCTAATACCTTATCCTTCTTTAATACTAGCCCGGTGCAAGAAAATCTTCCCATTGCACTAACACGTCTTTATTACGTACCCGCTGGTGTACTTTGCTGTATAACCTTCGTTTGTTGTAACATATCTGCTGATAATTAGTGATACGTACTGGCAACAAACGCTGCGTCCCATGTTGGATGAAGGCCTCCCCCCCCCACATCGCCACCCCCTCACGTGACTGCTGCTCCCTGTGTCCACGCAGGAGACACAGCTGCCTCGACTCGAGGAGGCCAAGTTCAAGCGGGAAAACATCAGCACCGAGGTCATGGACTTGGTTCCACCTGCCGACTGCAGATACTATTCTCACGCGAAGATGATCGCCCCTACTGTCGTCAAGCTGTAGGCATTTGGCCGGCATCCAGGCAGCTCGAGGCAGCCAGGGTGCGACTTTGGTTTGTTGCCAAGATTTATGTCTGCCGTGTGTTAAGCCTGGTCCACGTGTAACGATTTTCTCCGATGCTACGAGAGGGAGATTGTCATCTCCAGCATCGCACCGTTGTCACTCTGCAGTTCGTACAAAACGATAAATGTATTGCCGCTTTGCTGTCGCAGTGTCATGGTGTTATGTGCTACTGGTTCTGGCAACAACAACAATGGCGGCGATTGTGTTGTCATATCAGATATATTCACTGCTCTCTGCCATGCTCTTATAGCAAAAGATGACATCACAGGATTGATGTTGCCTCCCTCTGCTGTAGCGTGATTGAGGTTACTAGCTTTTGGCTGTATAAAAACCCTAAAATCATGATACGGACATACCTCGATAAACGTTAGGGTTGCGTTTTTCGAAACCTGAACGTAAAGTGAAACATCGCACTGTATCGAAACGTATATTCCCATAAGGTCCCATTATCTAACCGAAAATGCGTTCCTAAGAAAATATTTTTGACCCAAAACCGACTAAAATAACACTTTCCAGCACAAACAAGATATTGTCATGCATAAATATGGAGAATAATAAGTAGACAGGTAATCTGAGATGTTGAGGATGTGGGGGGAGGGGTGACTGGAAGGGTGAGGGTGGGGCAGTGCGCGCAGCTGCCCCCCCCCCTCCGTGAGGACGTATGCACAGTACGTACGGTAAGTACAGGCCGAAGCGTGGTGGAACGTACGTTTAGTTTTTAACTTCACGGCTTGGTTTGTAAACGAGTGGCGAGGCTATGCAACGTGGCAGCCAGGAAAATGGCCTGGAACCGTATACAATGCAGACGTGAATTTACTGCAGGTGTTTTGATTTCCCCCCCCAACACCAAAACAGTACAATTTAGAGCAAACGAGACGTAATTAGAAAAAAGTGTTAATTTATGATGAACGTAATAACTAATCGGCGTAAATCGAGTTACCGGGGTACGCTTGATATTTGAACTGAGCTTCATACTGATCACACGTACCACAAGTGGCTGACCAATCCAGGTGACCTCATTTAGCCACCACGGTGTGTGAGCAGTGTATATCACACGGCAGACACATCAGGCTAATTCCCAAAACCAGAATTTCACTTTTGCTGCCGGTAACATGGAGCCACGGTTGCATGGATTGTAACAACACATCGTGTAATAAATACTGAATGTGCAGCTAATAAGTATAGACGTGAGACTTCAGTAGTAATTTTGTAAAATGTTGGATTTATTTTGTTTGAAAACGTAGACCTTTAAGTAGAATAGTTGGGTGATCTTTATCTGGAGCACAGGGAGAAGAGGAAATCGACAACTCGAAGGACACCAGATGGAACCACATCTCGTGTGCAGGATGCTCATAGGTCATGTTGTTACCATGGCGAGCACAATCGTAATACCGTATACGGTATTTTTTTACTTGTTTTAAGCGTTTTTCACTAAACCTATGATGGAAACCTCATTTTACTCTAGCAGGGGCCATATGCTCTGTACGTTAGCTCGTTGTCAGTGTATTCCTAGTTTAGGCAGTATAGTTTTGCACGGACCCCAATTTTGTAAATATAAACTAATTTCAAACACGTAAAAAAGAAGTTGTTTGATGGAGTTGTTTGATGCCTTATTCTTGAACTATTTGCATCATGAGGTTATTTTACTTTAATAATATTCGTACATTTTAATTATATTCCCGATTGATGGCTTACGTATGACTTGTATGTTAGTGGTTAAGCTTAGTACGTGTGTAGTACGGTTGTAAAAGGTACAACAAAAGTAGAGATTGCAAAAGTGGTATTTTTCGGCTGAAAGACCCCTGACTGCTCATCAACGATTCAAGGTACGGCGAGTGTTATCATCAGTCTCCCAGTGGTGGTTTAAAAACAATCCGTAATGTGTTGTCGTGGTGTGTGGAAAAAACCCCCCATCTAACTTGCAAATGAGGCTATGCATAATTGAACTTAAATGTTTTCCCTGGTGCGAAAGCCAATACAGTAGTACTTTGTATCGAACCAAATAACATCCATTACGAACTGCTACACATTCCACACACCTCTCGTCTTTGTCTTCTCGCCTTTGTTGGAGGTAAGTGACAGAAGGTTTGTAGTGAAATAGTGTATACACAAAACATGAGTAGTATTTGTGTAGCTAAGAAACATACCCTCATGCCAAATACTTGTTTTGTCGATTAACGGGAAGTGAAACAACTTCCTGCTGGTGGTTGTACAAAATTTAGGCATGGAGCAATGCACCAATTCATTGATTAAAATGAACTCTTATCGCGATATGCACATCGAATTGCGTTGGTAACAAACAATTATGCTCACTTTTGACTTAAAGCTTTCGTGACAGCAGGGATTCATATTCTTTGGGTCTTTCGGTAAAGTCACATAGGTTCAAAGAAAAAAAACTACGACGTTTCGATCGCAACACAAGCGGTCATAGTTTTTTTTGTTATTTTTTTTGAACCTATCTACGTGACTTTACCGAAAGACCCAAAGAATATGCTCACTGTATTTACAATTCCACAAAATGATTTGCCAAAGATATGCTGATATTACAATTCGGTTAATTTGGGCAGACAAAGCAACACAAGTGAGACCTAAAAAAAACGAGAAACAATAAAGAGACATTAAAATTTGAACATAAAAAGTTAATTCGTAAATCAAATTATTAATCAAGATCGTGACAATGCATTAACTCACTGGAGGGGCAACTTTTGTTACCTATATAGCACGATGCACGCCGAGGTGAAAAGACATTAGATCACACATGAGCAGAATCATACTTTATCCACTTTCAAAATGATCCCCGGGCATCCATTCCTGACTTGGGCGCCTCTGTGTGTGGATTTTGTATGTTCTTCCCCTGTTCTGCACGGGTTACTTTTGGGTGGGTTATCCTGGTTCCCCCCTCCCCCACATAACTGTGAAATATGCAATGTCAACCCTGGTTCAAATTTGCCCAATTTGAAAAATTACTCTTAAAGCAAGAATCTCCCCCGACTCCCTTACTGGCAAACAAATGGCCATCGCCGAGCCAGGCGTTGAGTCATCTTGTACCGCACATGGTCGGCTGCCAGTAGTGTGAATGGTGTCTGCGCTGAGACGTCTCACCACCCGAGACAGCGCATTAATTCAGAGGAGAGATGCCAGCCAAAATGGGGACAGAATATCCCCAACACGTTCGCAATAAAGGTCAACCCATACTTTGATTTAGCGATGAAACTCGGTAAACTGAAACGACCACAGCCGCATGCAGGGACAATGTCGGGAATTATTTACACATGCTGTTCAGTAAATTCTTGCACGCCCATGCTCTTCACAATTGTTTCCCTTCAACTTTTAAAGCGAGACGTTCCTGTAGTGTTTCAAAGGTGGTGTGAGCAATGGCGATTCTAGCACTGCATACAGCACGTATGTTCAGCCATTGGTGGAATTACCCCCCAGATTCTAAACCCCTGGCCTGGTTATCACCACTGCTCCACTCAAGAGACTTACTTTCTGCCTCGAAACACTCCGCTCCTGCAACACAATAGCACTCGCGTCATTTTAAGCAAATAGTATTTTTACAATTTTAAAAAGCAGTATTTTGTATAAGAGCGTATCGATGTTTTAACCCGATTTCTAACTGTCGTTATTATTCTATTTGAGGGGGATAACAAAGTAGAGTAGTTCGTCGAGTAGTTGGTAAGAGTCGCGTATTAAAGTGTAACACTGTTAACTCTCCCTTTATAGCGGTATTTACACGTGCAGTTGTACATGCCTGTGCATACGCTGTTAAGTGTTCAGTATTTTAAAGCAAATTAGGTACTATGTAATATTTTGTATTAATGTTAGACATTAAAATTACGTATGGTAATACAGTACCACAGATCATTTTAAGTGGACATTGTGGCATTACATTGAACTGCGTAAGTCTGTCTTGTCCGTTAATATTAATGCCAGAGAATCAAGGGAGTGGCCGGATGGCTCAGAAGTCAGAGCACTGAGCTGGTATAGCTGAGGTCCTCGATTCGAATCCAGGCAGTTGCCCATGTTTATTAAACTGAGTTCTCAAGCCGTAGTGAGTTGATTGTCTCATCCCGGTCAACAATGACTGCACAAAGAGAGAAAACATCGCATCAAAAATTGTTTCTGCACTCCGATTTGGACAAGTTCCTGCTCCGAGGATAAAAAAATATATATTGTATTCACTGTCATTCGACGAACCCCACCCACTCTCATATACAGAGGCGGGTGGGAAAATGCTGCACCCTGTTGTGTGTGGACCAGCGGTCACTTGCAGGCATCTCAAGAGGGTAGTAGCTCTGTGATACCCGCTTCAGTGAACCATTCTCAAACACGAAGGGTGGCAACCACTGCTCTTAGTTTTGTGACACGACACCGATAACTCAGTCGGGGTCACATTTGGGAAACTTTACATGCAAAGCCAGGATCAAGATCTAAATGAAGGAAATAATTATTTTGTTTTATATCGGACTTTTAAAAATATATAAATAGAATATTTTTAACGGAAATGTAATCTGCACGTTTTTCGCGGTTTATGGAACGTATATCCGCAGATGACAGGATCTGCGATATGCCCCCCATATCAATTATGATTTACTTTATTGGTGGTCTGTATATTATTCATATGAAGTATGGACAATGTGGCATTAATGACCCGATTTAATTTGAAATTACATTACTACGTCAAGTTATCCTTGGAAAACAAAACAGTACGTTGTCACAAAAGGCTTTCAAATGGTTTACATACATTTCGTGTACAGGCACTCTACTTACGAACGAGTTAGGTTGCAGAGGTCTGTTGGTAGGTCGATGTGTTCGTAAATCCAACTTTACTCTTGTTAATTCCAAACATGTTGCACGGCATGTACACAAAACACGGGGAGTTACTTAAAACGTTGTATAATCTCCTGGAGATGGAGATTCCACTGGTTATTAATGTTCTGCAGATGTAGATACCACCACCATCTATTGCGCGGCAGTTGAACTTACAACTCTCGATCTGAACAGGCAACTGGACATAGACAGGTTTGTTCGTATCTCTGAAAGCTCGTTTGTCGAATGTTCGTAAATATACGAATTCCTGTACCTACATTGTGAATATGCTAAAAGTAATTAAGCTCTTTTATTTATAAAAAAAAACGTTATATTTCAATTTCACCAAGATCTCGATCCTTGGCTTAATAATAGTTGCCGTGTACTGTGCAGGTGTTAGCATGACAGGGCAGCATGTTGCACATAACCGTCAGTTTACAGAAACTGCTTACCTTAACGTGTGCAGGACAAGATAGCAGTTTTCAAAATGAACTTGTAATTTTGTAGAAATTAGTTTTGTACTTTAATTACATGACGTGTGTTGTATTCTTTTGTTTCACAACAGCTTAATGAGACACTGATGAATGGTGCTAATGCGTGAGCAGCTGAGGCCATAGAAAGGGCTCTGTTGAGCTTCTTGTTGGCGATCAAGATGTAGTGCGCGAGAAAAAATAATAATAGACATTAGATGTGATTGTACAGTTAGCTTGTAACGATGAAAACGAGTGTTGTTTAATGTCGTTTTGCTTTTTCACTCATAGACGTGCCCGATTGATGAGAGCAGTCTACGAACATGATCCTTTTGCTGCGTGATGTTGTCCAGTTTGCTCCATGGAACTGCACACGTTGATATTCCTCTGTGCATCAGCTAGTGTTCACCTTGCATTGAAAATTAAATAAAAAATGTAGTCCCTTACACATTTTCATGTCTTTGCGTGGTGTTGCTTGTGGGTTAACTCTTGGCACGAAACGCGCCGACAGAATGCAAAACATTGAAGGGCAGATTCTGCTCTGCCCACATTTTATAGAACAGGTTTTTTTTTTTCCCAAGGGTGCATGGCCATGCCATAAAAACAGTAGATAGAACTCTTTGTGGTGATGTGGAGGAAGATGCTATGATCAGCAAAGGGTAATCTTGTGAATTGACTCCACTTATCCACGGGGAGACTACAGATATGTGTGGATACTAGGAAGAATAGGGCTACGAGTAGGAGTTATTGCAGATTCTACAGTCCCGGCAGATAGTCTGTTCTATAACGTGGTAGTTGCATTCCTGAAGAACACCGCATTATGGAAAAATCGCTTGAAATTAAACTAGCTTTACTACCCGGCTTCGCCCAAGACTTGGATTAATACACGGCCTGCGCAGAGGGTGGGGGGGGGGGTGACGTCAGCAGTTACATTGTGTGACGCTACTGCATGCAGGTGACATGCATATGACGTCACCGCTCACTTGCCCATTATTGCGCCCCCCTCCCCCCCAAAACAAAAGTATATTTTTAAACGTTTTGCATTGTGTACAGTCTGGAAACTACTCACGTGTCAAATTTCAAGTTTGTTGCATGTCGGGAAGTATGCTAATCATTTCACAAATTTGCCTTTTATATATGTTGAGGTGTAAATGATGACTCGGAGGCAGATCTTCATGTAGGGGCTTGCGCCAGTTGTTTTATTAAAGACTTTTCTTCATACACGACTCCGTGTACTGCACGCTCACTGCCTACACTCCACACCCCAGGGGAAGGGTACTGGGGAGGTCCCTAGCACACCCACAGGCTCCCCGAGCCTGGTGCCAATTTCCCCCTACCCCAGGGTCCCATCGCTCTCCCGGGAGAAGGGTACTGGGGAGGTCGCTAGCACACCCACAAGCTACCCTAGCCTGGTGCCAATTTCCCCCTTCCCTGGGTCCCAACTTCCAACTCCACACGTTCCTGGCTCCTCGCAACGACCTCGAACACGTCTTGACTTGGGCACTGACCTGGATCATTCCAGGGTAAATCTTTTTGCAGATGACACGATACTGATTACTCTGGCCGCTCTCCGGATGACGTGATTGCTAAGCTCCAGGGTGATTTCAACAAACTACAACATCAGCTAGTTTCTCTTAAACTAGTCCTGAATACCTCCAAAACCAAGGTGCTATGCTTCTCACCGGGACTAAAGCAGGAAGTTATTTTCCCCCAATTACATTCCTTAAATAATTATCAAATAGAGCAAGTCAAGATCTATAAGTATCTTGGGGTCATCCTGGATTCAAAACTTAATTTTGAAGATCACATTGATTATGTTGGTAAAAAGACAAAAATTAAAATTGGTTTTCTGTATCGACACAAGCACTGCTTCCCCCCCCCCAATGTTCCGTTTGGAATTAATAAAAGCTAACATACTGCCTCTACTTGACTACTGTGACATCGTGTATAAATCAGCCCCAAGTACTGTACTGAAGAAGCTTGATTCCATCTATCACTCGGCCTTAAGATTTGCATTGAACTGCCCATATAGGACTCACCACTGTGATCTCTACATTGGGTCAAACTTAACATCTCTTAATGTTCGCCGGCTTGTGCACCAGATCTTATTTATTCACGATGTACTTACAAAAAATGCGCAGACTACCTACTGGATCTCCTCTCTGTTTCAAAGAACAAATTTGACCTCAGGTCTTCGCTCATGTACCAGCTTCACATTCCCTATTGCTGTACAAAAAACGGAGGAAGGGCCATTGCTATTGATGGCCCCAGGGTCTGGAACGCTATTGCCAATAAACTGCAACTTGCATCACTACCTATCAGATCTTCACTCAAAACTGCTCTAGAGGAGTTGTACACCCCTAGCTGCCACTGCTATTCAGTTGCCTAAAATATGGCTCTAGATTTTGGTGTTATAATTTATGTAGTTTATTGTTAAAAATTCGGTCACAGTCCCTATAATCACTTTTACATTGCATTTATGGCTTTTATTTTGGTGATTTCGAAAAGTTTTTTTGTTTTGGCCATGTTTTTGTTTATTGTAGTACGGAGTTAGACTGATGGCCTTAATCTTAGTTGTCTTGTGGTTGTTGTTATTTGACTTGCATCCCACTGGGATTTTTGCACACTTGCGTTGGTGTACGGTGCTATTTCAGGAATATTTTGATGTTTTTTTCCTGTATTTTCTGTTTGCACAGTCACATAATCACTTTAAGATGTTTTCTTGTTCATGTTTTTGTTTGTTGCGGTTGCACCCGATTCAAGAGCCGAATGGCTCAAAGGGCTATACCATATAAATCTATGGAACGTCACGGGCCCAAACTTAAATATCCCATTGGACGTCACCGTCCCGCCCCCTGTGCATGACGTCACCATACGTGACGTCATCGTACCGGGGGGCGAGCGTGACATGACGTCAATAACTACTACTCTACATATAGACGAGCGGGAAGTACCCGCCGTTGCCTGGGGGGAAAATAAATAAAAACTTCTCAAAACCTAAAAACATAACATACAAATGAAAATAAAACTTTGATCATTACCTCATTCATTAAAATAAAACCCAACGCGCGGTGGAAATAAAATCTTACGCTCGCGCGCCAAGATTCGATTCTTTAAATCGAGTAAAGGAATCGAAGTTTGTAGATTTCTTTACAATCGCTGTCCCGTTTAATCGATACCACAAACGCTCACCAGTTATCGATTCTCGCCAGTCCTCTCAGCGGGTTAACGCCACACACTTCATGGTGATTCCCCCCCCACCCCGCAAATACAAAAGTCTCTTTTTTATGTTTTACATTGTGCACAGTAAGGGAGCTAGCCACATGGCAAATTTAAAGTTTGTAGCCTAGTATATTATATCCATTATACCCCCACCCACTCGCGCATCTGTGCGGGATACACGGCCTACGCGGAGGGTTTGGGGGGGGGCGTGACGTCACAGGCACACTGCGTAACGCTGCCGCATGCGGGTGACATGACAGAGGTGACGTCACAGCTCACTTGCCGTGCAAAATATATCCATTATTGCGCCCCCCCCCCCCAAATGTTTTATTATTATTTTAAAATGGTGTACAGTCTGGTAAGTACCCACATGCCAAATTTCAGGTTTGTTGCATGTCGGGAAGTATGCTAAACATTTTGAACAGACACACATTCACAAATTTCCCTTTCATATTTTTTTGAAGACTAGCTTTACTACCTGGTTTCGCCCGGGACTTGGATTCACCACGCACGGCCGCATTTGTCCCCCCAGTGGTGATGTTCACACTACACGAGTTACTCGTTTGATGCTGAGTGGACCTAGGGGAGGCCCAGGACCAGTAAAAACAATTGTCACCGGTGGTGGCCATGAGCAGGAATCCAACTCGGGTCGCCGGGTTCGTAGCGCGGCGCGCTAAACACTACACTGGAAGTTTTCAAGTTTAATTTATGAGGTATAGCCCTGTGAGCCATGCGGCTCTTGAGTCGGGTGCAACCGCAACAAACAAAATATGAACAGAGAACATCTTAAAGCGACGACGCACAACAGAAACATCCTGGATACACCAGCAAATCGTCCAGAAAAAAAACACCAGTATTACAACGCTGTGTGCAAAAATCTCAGTGTGATGCAAGACAAACAATAACCATAAGACAAATTTTGCTTTAAAGCTTTCGTGACTGCAGTAATTCATATTCTTAGCTCTTTCGGTAAAGTCACGTTGAAGGGAAACAATAAAATATATATAAAACAATTAAAATTCTCACACAAACGGTCGTCATCAGGTGTGTCGGTTTGCAAACCGACACACCTGATGACGACCGTTTGTGTTATGGTCGAAACGTCGTGAGAATTTTTATTGTTTAATATATATTTTATTATTTTATTGTTTCCCTTCAACGTGACTTTACCGAAAGAGCTAAGAATAACCATAAGACAATTTAGATTCAAGTTATCAGGCCAACTCCGCACTTCCGCAAGAAACATGGCTTAACCATGTTTAGAAATCACCAAAATAAAGCTATAAAATACAATGTAACAACAGTAATCATAGGAACTTTGATTCAAATTTAACAATAAACGGTATACATAACATGTACGAACAAACTTGCAGCCATATCTGTCAGCATGACACTCCCCGTGTATATGTGAGTGAGTCAATGGTAGTGAGTGTATGATGTGTGAGTCAGTGGTAGTGAGTGTATGATGTGTGTGTGAGTCAGCGTATTATGAGTGTGTGTATGATGAGTGAATCATTGTATGAGTGAATGGGTCAGTGGTTGTGAGTGTATGATGTGCGAGTGAGTCAGCGTATGACGAGTGAGTCAGTGTATGATGTGTAAGGTGAGTGTGTATCACGGCCTCCTCCCCGCCATCACGGCCTTCTCCATGCCATCGTGGCCTCCTTCCCGCCATCACGGCCTCCTCCATGCCATCGCGGCCTCCTTCCCGCCATCACGGCCTCCTCCATGCCATCGCGGCCTCCTCCCCGCCATCGCGGCCTTCTCCATGCCATCGCGGCCTCCTTCCCACCATCACGGCCTCCTCCATGCCATCGTGGCCTCCTTCCCATCATCGTGGCCTCCTCCCCACCATCGCGTTACGCTTCCACATGCGTGGGTCACATGACACATTTGACGTGACAGCTCACTTGCCGTGCAAAAGAAATATGCATTAATGAGCTCCCCCCTCCCCCCAAAAAAACAAGTGTATTTTTTTTTTAAATTGCATGGTGTATAGTCTGAAAAGTACCCACGTGGCAAATTTCAAGTTTGTTGCATGTCGGGAAGTACTCTAAACATTTTGAATAGACGCACATAATCACAACTTTGCCTTTATATATATGCAGATAACAGGGGAAGCAGTCTGCGATAACACGTGAGATGCGTACGCAGGATGAACAAAGACTGAGGCGCGTGGGTAGCATCTAGAAGCATCCCGCAGCAACTGCGTATTCCTACTTGTGTAACGTAGTTCCGTTAATTCAATTGCATTCTATCAAATTCGCAACCGTGTGATAAAGCACGTATTATAACAGAACTGACTAATGTAGTGAGTAAAATAATCGTGAATAAAAGAGAATTCTGCTCTATCTCAAATTAGTCTGGAGCAGTGCCCATCTTTGAGCCCTCAGACAATGGTGGAAATTCCATATTCCTATTATGGGGAATATTCCTTAAGGACAACCACTGTTGACTTCCCATAACGTAGTACCTGCATGATTGACCTTATGTTGATGGGCTACAAAGATCCCAACCGGGAATCAAAGTTGCATTCCAATTGCGAAGCAAATGTTCTAACAGGGACACCAGAGCTGATGAAGCTCACTTCCTTCACGCCAAAGTAGACACCGATATATGGTGTCGATTACTACAATGTAGGTAGAGTATATGTATGTTGAACTTCTTTCGCACCGTACGTAGCCGACCGTGCTAATCGGTAGTAACCACTAACCTAATCACACTGTGGTTACTGCACATACTGTGAAAGAAGTGTTAAACTTTTTACAGAGTAAGATATCTATTTTTTAATACGATGAAAACGAATACACGTAATAGCCCTTTGTTAGTGCATTTTTAGATTGTGGTTTTGTTGGATCCCTACACCACCACCACGCTTGAGGACCAGGACCAGTTCAGCTACCACTCACCGCCGGTGTTACCGTAAATTGCATGGTACACTTTTTTATTCTTTCACGTTCGTTGAAGGTGTAAACATATTTAGCAGAGCACATTAAGAACAGTTAAATGAAAGTATTTTCATTTTATTTTAATAAAACAGTATGAAACTGTACAACCTAATACACAATACAGTATTCAACATTTGAGCAAATCTGATATAATGTACTTATTGATAAAATAGTAAATAGTAAACCCAACAAACTCAAAGTTAACTCACCAGGATACACTAAAACTAGCTGGGGACAGTTTAGTTTCAAAACTTATGCCAAAATGATTTTCAGAGTCAAGACACATTCACAGTATTGTACAATTAATTTCATCTTTGTCAGATGCTTGACTCACAACTCGTGCTAAGCCGTTATTCTGTTGTCTACAACTCGTGCACATGTTGAATTCCAGAACATCACCCTAAATGTGGCCAAGGTGAGTTTTCTGTACGGCGATGATAGTGCGCAGAAGTCACCACTTGAAACAATGGGTATCGATCTGGCCTGGAGTATCATGGGCAAGGTCTTCCACTATTGTTTGCCTTGTGTCTCTCTCACATGGATAATGTAACGCGCTCCTTCAGCTGTCGATCTCCTGTGCTCCTGCAGAAAGCAAGGGCTGTAAATAGTCCCACAGATTATACTTTATTTTATAAATAATGTTTTCCCAAAAATGTACCAACCAGAGTGAAATATTTCACAGCCGTAAAATAAAAATGTCTTAAGTTAATAGAGTAAATGCATTTTTTAAGGTAGTGAGCCATGTTTAGTTGGCATATTTCATTAAGCAACACTTACATGCAAAGAAAAACCCCTGCCGGAGGTTCAAATGAACATTTGTCAAAAACATGTGCGAACATGGTATAGTAAACAACTTTAAGCAAATAAGGATAATGAGAATAAGGTCATAAAAATGCATGAAAAATATAAAGATATCAATATTACCAAAGATATTACTAAAGAACTGCTACTGTTTTGATTTAAAGCTTTTGTGACTGCAGTAATTCATATTCTTAGTTTTTTTCGGTAAAGTCACGTTGAAGAGAAACAACAAAATAATAAAATATATATAAAACAATATAAATAAAAAATTCTCACGACGTTTCGACCATAACTCAAACGGTCATCTTCAGGTGTGTTGGTTTGCATAAATTTATTTTTAAACGGCGCATTTATTTATTTATAAAAAAAAACCGTTAGCGCCACGCGCAGCGATTTGGCAGTTTACCCAGGACTAGTCCATCTATATTCTGAAAAGAGGAGGGGGGAGACGAAATTTTTTATAATGTATGCTGTCTGAAAGCCACTGTAAGCGTGAACAATCAATTAAGAACTGAAATGGTTTATCAAATCTTTCCAATGATTGCTAAGATAGAATCCATCTTCTCGGTTGAAATTGTCTCTGTGCTTGTATATGTGGATAGCCTCATGAACGAATCTCTCATGGAAGCCAGATGGCTTACAAAGAACCTCTGTCTTGGAAAAGTCAATGGCATGTGAGCCTACTGAATAGAACAATGATCTGCTACGGCCGAGGTGTTGGTCCTACCGTGTTTAAGGTCTGCTTTGTGTTCACGAATGCGGTCCGAGACATGGCGTTTGGTTTCTCCAATGTAACTACTACCACAGAGGCAACTTAGTTTGTAGACACCAGGGTATTGTATGTCCGGAATCACATCTTTTACAGACGGAACCAGATCACGGATTTTATGTAATGTGTTGAAACGGACCATGAGAGATTCGTTCATGAGGCTATCCACATATACAAGCACAGAGACAATTTCAACCGAGATGGATTCTATCTTAGCAATCATTGGAAAGATTTGATAAACCATTTCAGTTCTTAATTGATTGTTCACGCTTACAGTGGCTTTCAGACAGCATACATTATAAAAAATTTCGTCTCCCCCCTCCTCTTTTCAGAATATAGATGGACTAGTCCTGGGTAAACTGCCAAATCGCTGCGCGTGGCACTAACGGTTTTTTTATAAATAAATAAATGCGCCGTTTAAAAATAAATGTATGCAAACTGCTACTGTGTTCAGAAATATATTGTCCAATGGTCAACTCCCCATGATTGATGGGGCAGTTTTGTGGACAGTGGAGAACTTTGATCCTGGTGAGTACTTGGGCACTGTGCTTATGACCAGCTTCGGTTTGGTAGCCGAGGTCTAACTCCGAATCAGTCGAGTGGCATGCATTACCTTTTCATTCGCTGCATAATGCTGTGTGCAAGCTAACTGGCCTGTCCCTCCAAACAAAACTTCGGCTCTTCTTGGCCACAGTTATGCCCCCCTTATATATGCTTGCGAAATGTGCAGCCCTATAAAGGAACATCTGCGCCAGTTTGAAACATTCAGGCTAGCCTACCTCCAATCATCCCTGGGTTTAACCAGAGTGGCTTGTGTGAGGAGCTGACAGATCCTTGAAAGACCTGGACAGTCCCTTCAGTGAGCTCCTCCAGCAAGCGACGCGTTGGCTGGGTCATGTAGCCCGAATGCCCAGCCACCACATGCCCAAGCAGCTTCTGTTTGACCAGATAGATGTAGCTAATTACAGCTTATATAGCGCATTTCATAAAACCTCCATGTGCCAGCACTGTTGGAACCATTCTGACAATTGAATAACCATATCATTCAAACGTCATTGTAATCACCATATTCTATCACAGTGGAACTTTTTCTATGGTCAGGCAGGCAAATTTGGGTGAGAGAATTTCCAAAATATTTGAGGAATGTGCAAAAACCTTCATGAAGTGACTGCTGTAGATTATGTGATTTATAAAAATGCACTCACTAAATTTGGTCCAGCCATTAAATCATCGGATCAGATGATTCCTCCTGCTCAACTGCCACTATTTCCAGACTCTGTCCTGAAAGTGCTGAAGCTTCTATCGTTTTCTTGTAAACACCCCCTGCTATGCATATGAATGTAAAATTCGCGAACAGCTTATGAGTGTAGAAAACCTTTCCCTCAAAGCGCGTGTAGTCATAATAAGTGGGAACGTTCAGTACCTCCACCAGAATGTTTATAGCACCAATAGCTTCACTGACCAGATACACCTCATCTTCGTTGGTTATACGTGACAGTACCGCAAGGCTGTCCAACTTACACACTTTGTCGCTTTGCTTGGTGTAAGCGACTATCTCATCCATAGCATTCTCCTGTCGGAAGCACGTCTTAAACTCCAGGTTCAGGCAGATGTTCGCAAGTGTACCCAGTGTAGATCGGACTATGTACCTCACGTCTGCATTGGAGGATCTTGCTTCTAGGCGCAAATGTTTCAACAGCTTTATCAGGTACTTGACCGCACCACATTCTACCAGACGCCGTCTGATCGGTGCATGGACACACGTATACCGTTGCAAAATCCACAAGGCCATTTCCATGCGACGGAGGCTGGAGTCAGGGATGTGTCTTCCCTCAGACGAGAGGTACAATAGCACGCTCATAATCATCTCTGCCCCACCTTCCTGCATGAGCACTTCTGACAACTGCTGCCGCTCCTCGAGAGTGGCGTATGTATCCACGGCCAAGTAAATCCCGTTAAGATTGTCTAAATCGATGCTGCTCGTCTTCAGGCATTGCAGGTGTTGCTTCAAGTTCTGCTTCTTGCTCTCCAGAGACACCGACTCACCCTTCTCAGTGTCCAAAGCATGACAACGCTGCTCCTGACCCTGGCGCAATGCCTGAGCGCACCAGGGCAGTGCTGAGGAGTTTGTCTGCATGAGGTTTGTGGTGCACAGGCAGCAGGAGCGACGACGACGACGAGCTGTTGCTCATGTACAAAGCCACCGCTCCGAAGGGACTGCTATTGCTCGCCTTCCTGGGTCTGTGTGTTTGTCACGACTGTAACAACAGTGACAGCAGGATGGGGGAAGGTCAGTTTAGTCAAAGTGTGTGCCCTGTTAATTTGAGAACTGGGTGGCACTCCATTCGTGGCCCAGTGTCGGTGGTGGAAATTCTACATTGCTATAGCCTATCCATAGGACTGATGTGGAATTACAAAAAAAGTTGTACCCATATTAATTATATATCAGACGCAGATGCTCAACACACTTGGCTAGACAGCAATTTCTGTAAGTCAAGCGCCACAGGGCTGGATGCCAAATAACTAAATAACTATGAAATGATAATGGCGCTTTGTAATCTACAGATGACGGACTAGCCACACACCACATTGGTCATAGGAGTTATTGGACCATACTTCACCAGAATGGTCAGTGCGAGTTGGTGAAGGAGATGGTGAGAACAGGTTCAAATATCACCGTACAAATGTGTTAGCTGGGGCCGGGAATCAAATGCAGGTGGCCAGGTTCACAGCGCATTCACTGCCTGATCACTCCACCCGGTACAATACGGTATAAACTTTATTTCACCAGAGGTCAGACTATAATTTTAAGAAGAGCCCTGGGCTACACACAGCATACACACTAGACTAACTAGAGGTTCACTGTATACATTTAAAACGTATAATTTACCGCCAGAACTGCACCTTATGTGCCATAGTCTTAGGCACGTGTATGAACTTCTAGAATAAAAATGAGCGGCTCAATCACTGGTATATCAACTGGTGTATAATAGTAACATCAATGAGAGGCCTAAGGAAGTGGTATTTGCCAAAAAATATAAGGGCAAGAGGATGATTGCAAATAAAGTGAATATATGACTAAAAATACAAGAGTTTCAACAATTGAAAAGAGTATTACTAATTCCGTAACATAAGTGATTTTTCCATAAAGAAAATGCATTGTGAATGGGGCATAACAATGGTAGATGTATGCAATATGAGCACCAGGTCTCTCCAAGCTATGTCGGTCATGGGGGTTCTTTGACCATACTTCGCAACGCTTGTCAGTGCAGGTTGGCAAAGGGGATAGGAGGGCACAGCTGGGGGGTGGCCAGGACAGATAATCACTCGACTGATCATACCCGTGGCAGGAATCGAATTTATCTCACCCGTTTCGTAGTGCAGTGTCTTCGATTGTAGAGTTCCCGGAGATGAATTTCAGCTGGAGTTTTCTGGGACCGTGCTCTAGAAAATGTTTCCCTGCAGGGTCTGAGAAGCTAGGGGTTTGGGAGGGGGGGGGGACTAGAAAATATTCCATGAAACATTAGGTCCGGTTTATCCTTACCCTTGCACAAGTGTGCATGCCGCGACGCTTCAGAAGTGTACATTATTATTTATCTTGTAAGAGCAAGCTCTTTAACGGTACAGATTGAGGGCGTGGAATACTACTGTGGTGGATCGGTGCGCACAGAGGACTTGCAATCCAGAGGTCACTGGTACGTACGATGCCATGTCTCACTCTGGCAGCTGAAACAATGGTGCAAGTTTCTTAAACAAAATTTGAATACGTATTTACACTGGTGGAATCAGATGAGCTATAAAGCTCTTTTCCACTGTAAGTCCAGTATATACGCGCCTCTGATCAGCACGGTTGGCTACGTGCCGTGCGAAAGAAATTCAACACACTGTACATACACGACGAGTCAATGGGCACGTCTCGTGGGGCCACCGTGGAACAGTAAGCCACACACCCTCTACAGTGAAGACCAACAGAGGTTTTTTGTTTTTGTGAAATCAGATCGCGTAGATAAAAACGCGTCGTTAAACCCGCCGCCACAATCCGACACAGCCGATTAGTGAGGTTTTGTCACGTAAACCAAACAGGCCTCTTCGTTACCAGTACAGCACACCGGTGTGTTGGAGAGTAAACCCATAAGCATTTACAATTCGAGTACCGTCACGTTTCGCTGGTAATTACAACCAGCATCAGGCGATAGCCATAATTATGGAGAACTCCTCCAGTTTCGTTCTTTAAATATTTACGCAATCGAACCCCAAACAAAACCCTCTCAATTATGGATATTGGTCACGACTTCTCACAAATCTGTCTTTATCGGAGATACCGTACAGGCGAATTATAATACGCAGCAGCACAAGCATCGATCCTGATCATCATCACCATCATCATCATCCCGTATCATCATCCACCGTCCACACAACCCGGCCGCCTCCTCCGTTGCCCAACAACTGCCGCTGCAGATGTTGCTATCTGGTTAAAACAACATGGAAGTGAGAACAGAAACATTGACGAGGTGAGACGCGGAGTTTCGCCTTTACCTGTTCGGCGAATGAAGAAGCCCAACAACTGCGAGCGGGTTCGTGGTGCCCCCAAATTCCTCATCGCCATACGCGTGACGTCACGCGCGGGCTACGTGATGACGTATTCCCGCGCCGTCCACCAATAGCAGCGTCGTAGCGTGCAGTGACGTCACGACGTAAGGCTAATTCCGCCCTCCTGTCCCCCATGAGCCCTCAACCTCCCCACCCCTTCCGTAGCCACGACATTCCGATTGCTCAATGTTCCAGGATGTAATGATAAGTTTTCAAGTTTCATTTATTAGGTGTAGCCCTGTGAGCCATGCGGCTCTTAAGTCGGGTGCAACCGCAACGAACAAAATATTAATACATCTTAAAGCGACAACGCGTAACAGAAACATCCTGGAATTCAACCCGCAAATATTCCACACGAAAAAAACCTTATTAAAACGCTGTGTGCAAAAATCACAATGTGGTGCAAGCCAACAACAACAACCATAAGACAATTTAGATTAACCATATGTTTTCGAATCACCAAAATAAAGCTATAAAATAATGTAACAACAGTAATCATAGGAACTGTGATTTTAAATTTAACAATAAACGATATACATAACACGTACGACAAAACCTGCAGCCATAGCTGGCAGCAGCCGGAGTGTATGATGTGCGAGTCAGCGTATGATGAGTCAGCGTATGATGTGTGAGTCAGTGTATGATGTGTGAGTCAGCGTATGATGTGTGAGCGAGTCAGCGGCAGTGTGAGTGAGTGTATGATGTGCGAGTGAGCCAGCACACGCTCAGTGAACCTGTGTATGATGAGTGAATGGGTTAGTGGTTGTTCGAGTGTATGATCTGTGAGTGAGAAAGCGCATGATGTGTGAGTGAGTCAGTGCATGGTGTGTGAGTGAGTCAGTGCATGGTGTGTGAGTGAGTCAGTGCATGGTGTGTGAGTGAGTCAGTGTATGATGTGTGAGTGAGTCAGTGCATGGTGTGAGTGAGTCAGTGCATGGTGTGAGTGAGTCAGTGCATGATGTGAGTGAGGCAGTGTATGCTGTGTGAGTCAGTGTATGATGTGTGAGTGAGTCAGTGTATGGTGTGAGTGAATCAGTGCATGGTGTGAGTGAGTCAGTGCATGATGTGAGTGAGTCAGTGTATGATGTGTGAGTCAGTGTATGATGTGTGAGTGAGTCAGTGTATGGTGTGAGTGAGTCAGTGCATGGTGTGAGTGAGTCAGTGCATGATGAGCAAGTCAGTGCATGATGTGTGAGTGAGTCAGTGTATGATGTGTGAGTGAGTCAGTGTATGATGTGTGAGTGAGTCAGTGTATGATGTGTGAGTGAGTCAGTGTATGATGTGTGAGTGAGTCACTGCATGATGTGTGAGTGAGTCAGTGTATGATCTGAGTGAGTCAGTGTATGATGTGTGAGTGAGTCAGTGATTGATGTGTGAGTGAGTCAGTGTATGATGTGTGAGTGAGTCAGTGTATGATGTGTGAGTGAGTCAGTGCATGATGAGTGAGTCAGTGTATGATGTGTGGGTGAGGCAGTGTATTATGTGTGAGTGAGTCAGTGCATGATGTGTGAGTGAGTCAATGTATGTTGTGTGAGTGAGTCAGTGCATGATGAGTGAGTCAGTGTATGATGTGTGAGTGAGTCAGTGCATAATGTGTGAGTGAGTCAGTGCATGATGTGTGAGTGAGTCAGTGCATGATAAGTGAGTGAGTCAGTGCATGATGTGTGAGTGAGTCAGTGCATGATGTGTGAGTGAGTCAGTGCATGATGTGTGAGTGAGTCAGTGCATGATGTGTGAGTGAGTCAGTGTATGATGTGTGAGTGAGTCAGTGTATGATGTGTGAGTGAGTCAGTGTATGATGTGTGAGTGAGTCAGTGTATGATGTGTGAGTGAGTCAGTGTATGATGTGTGAGTGAGTCAGTGTATGATGTGTGAGTGAGTCAGTGTATGATGTGTGAGTCGGTCAGTGTATGATGTGTGAGTGAGTCAGTGTATGATGTGTGAATGAGTCAGTGTATGATGTGTGAGTGAGTCAGTGCATGATGTGTGAGTGAGTCAGTGTATGATGTGTTAGTGAGTCAGTGCATGATGTGTGAGTGAGTCAGTGTATGATGTGTGAGTGAGTCAGTGTATGATGTGTGAGTCAGTGCATGATGTGTGAGTGAGTCAGTGTATGATGTGTGAGTGAGTCAGTGCATGATGTGTGAGTGAGTCAGTGCATGATGTGTGAGTGAGTCAGTGTATGATGTGTGAGTGAGTCAGTGTATGATGTGTGAGTGAGTCAGTGTATGGTGTGTGAGTGAGTCAGTGTATGATGTGTGAGTGAGTCAGTGTATGATGTGTGAGTGAGTCAGTGTATGATGTGTGAGTGAGTCAGTGTATGATGTGTGAGTGAGTCAGTGTATGGTGTGTGAGTGAGTCAGTGTATGATGTGTGAGTGAGTCAGTGTATGATGTGTGAGTGAGTCAGTGTATGATGTGTGAGTGAGTCAGTGTGATGTGTGAGTGAGTCAGTGTGATGTGTGAGTGAGTCAGTGTATGATGTGTGAGTGGGTCAGTGTATGATGTGTGAGTGAGTCAGTGTATGATGTGTGACTGAGTCAGTGCATGATATGTGAGTGAGTCAGTGTATGATGTGTGAGTGAGTCAGTGTATGATGTGTGAGTGAGTCAGTGTATGATGTGTGAGTGAGTCAGTGTATGATGTGTGAGTGAGTCAGTGTGATGTGTGAGTGAGTCAGTGTATGATGTGTGAGTGAGTCAGTGTATGATGTGTGAGTGAGTCAGTGCATGATGTGTGAGTGAGTCAGTGTGATGTGTGGGTCAGTGTATGGTGTGTGAGTGAGTCAGTGTATGATGTGAGAGTGAGTCAGTGTATGATGTGTGAGTGAGTCAGTGTATGATGTGTGAGTGAGTCAGTGTATGATGTGTGAGTGAGTCAGTGTATGATGTGTGAGTGAGTCAGTGTATGATGTGTGAGTGAGTCAGTGTATGATGTGTGAGTGAGTCAGTGTATGATGTGTGAGTGAGTCAGTGTATGATGTGTGAGTCGGTCAGTGTATGATGTGTGAGTGAGTCAGTGTATGATGTGTGAATGAGTCAGTGTATGATGTGTGAGTGAGTCAGTGCATGATGTGTGAGTGAGTCAGTGTATGATGTGTTAGTGAGTCAGTGCATGATGTGTGAGTGAGTCAGTGTATGATGTGTGAGTGAGTCAGTGTATGATGTGTGAGTCAGTGCATGATGTGTGAGTGAGTCAGTGTATGATGTGTGAGTGAGTCAGTGCATGATGTGTGAGTGAGTCAGTGCATGATGTGTGAGTGAGTCAGTGTATGATGTGTGAGTGAGTCAGTGCATGATGTGTGAGTGAGTCAGTGTATGATGTGTGAGTGAGTCAGTGTATGATGTGTGAGTGAGTCAGTGTATGGTGTGTGAGTGAGTCAGTGTATGATGTGTGAGTGAGTCAGTGTATGATGTTTGAGTGAGTCAGTGTATGATGTGTGAGTGAGTCAGTGTATGATGTGTGAGTGAGTCAGTGTATGGTGTGTGAGTGAGTCAGTGTATGATGTGTGAGTGAGTCAGTGTATGATGTGTGAGTGAGTCAGTGTATGATGTGTGAGTGAGTCAGTGTGATGTGTGAGTGAGTCAGTGTGATGTGTGAGTGAGTCAGTGTATGATGTGTGAGTGGGTCAGTGTATGATGTGTGAGTGAGTCAGTGTATGATGTGTGACTGAGTCAGTGCATGATATGTGAGTGAGTCAGTGTATGATGTGTGAGTGAGTCAGTGTATGATGTGTGAGTGAGTCAGTGTATGATGTGTGAGTGAGTCAGTGTATGATGTGTGAGTGAGTCAGTGTGATGTGTGAGTGAGTCAGTGTATGATGTGTGAGTGAGTCAGTGTATGATGTGTGAGTGAGTCAGTGCATGATGTGTGAGTGAGTCAGTGTGATGTGTGGGTCAGTGTATGGTGTGTGAGTGAGTCAGTGTATGATGTGAGAGTGAGTCAGTGTATGATGTGTGAGTGAGTCAGTGTATGATGTGTGAGTGAGTCAGTGTATGATGTGTGAGTGAGTCAGTGTATGATGTGTGAGTGAGTCAGTGTATGATGTGTGAGTGAGTCACTGCATGATGTGTGAGTGAGTCAGTGTATGATCTGAGTGAGTCAGTGTATGATGTGTGAGTGAGTCAGTGATTGATGTGTGAGTGAGTCAGTGTATGATGTGTGAGTGAGTCAGTGTATGATGTGTGAGTGAGTCAGTGCATGATGAGTGAGTCAGTGTATGATGTGTGGGTGAGGCAGTGTATTATGTGTGAGTGAGTCAGTGCATGATGTGTGAGTGAGTCAATGTATGTTGTGTGAGTGAGTCAGTGCATGATGAGTGAGTCAGTGTATGATGTGTGAGTGAGTCAGTGCATAATGTGTGAGTGAGTCAGTGCATGATGTGTGAGTGAGTCAGTGCATGATAAGTGAGTGAGTCAGTGCATGATGTGTGAGTGAGTCAGTGCATGATGTGTGAGTGAGTCAGTGCATGATGTGTGAGTGAGTCAGTGCATGATGTGTGAGTGAGTCAGTGTATGATGTGAGTGAGTCAGTGTATGATGTGTGAATGAATCAGTGTATGATGTGTGAGTGAGTCAGTGTATGATGTGTGAGTGAGTCAGTGTATGATGTGTGAGTGAGTCAGTGTATGATGTGTGAGTGAGTCAGTGTATGATGTGTGAGTGAGTCAGTGTATGATGTGTGAGTCGGTCAGTGTATGATGTGTGAGTGAGTCAGTGTATGATGTGTGAATGAGTCAGTGTATGATGTGTGAGTGAGTCAGTGCATGATGTGTGAGTGAGTCAGTGTATGATGTGTTAGTGAGTCAGTGCATGATGTGTGAGTGAGTCAGTGTATGATGTGTGAGTGAGTCAGTGTATGATGTGTGAGTCAGTGCATGATGTGTGAGTGAGTCAGTGTATGATGTGTGAGTGAGTCAGTGCATGATGTGTGAGTGAGTCAGTGCATGATGTGTGAGTGAGTCAGTGTATGATGTGTGAGTGAGTCAGTGCATGATGTGTGAGTGAGTCAGTGTATGATGTGTGAGTGAGTCAGTGTATGATGTGTGAGTGAGTCAGTGTATGATGTGTGA